ACTATAACTAAGGATTATGTACATAACTGATAACATCAATATTCACCGATGACATTATTTACTGATGACATCATTATTTACTGATGACATCATATAATGACCTCTTCAGGTCACTAAAATTGTATATTTACCTCTGTTCTCTCTCTTAAAACAGAAATTATAGCACTCAAGCAGACATAGCAATCTTGTAGAGCTGAATGCATGCATGTATGCATATATACAAGTTAAGAGAGTTCAAGAGCAGTGATTTAAGTTAATTAAGTTTCATCATGGATGCCTTTTTGAACAACATGATCCTGCAAATTTTAGCAGATTCTACCTGACAAAAAATAACTTTTTACAAATGCAACTGGCGCCGTTCACCCTGTGCACTCTTCGGGGTATCACAGTTTGCATATAAACAACAAAATGAGCTGCATATGAGAGCTGCACATTGCTTGAGTATGGGCTTTATATGTCATCACCATTCTTTTACAACAAATATACTGTTCATAATATTTAGATATACCAGGGTACTGTCAAAATACGTATCAAACTCAAGCACAACATTGCCATCCTACAGCAGAATCCACTCTCAGACATCACTACAGGTACTGATGACATCACTACAGGTACTGATGACATCATTACAGGTACTGATGACATCACTACAGGTACTGATGACACCACTACAGGTACTGATGACACCACTACAGGTACTGATGGCATCACTGCGGGTACTGATGGCATCACTGCAGGTACTGATGCCATCCCACAGCAGAATTCACTCTCATACATCACTACAGGTACTGATGACATCACTACAGGTACTGATGACATCACTACAGGTACTGATGACATCACTACAGGTACTGATGACATCACTACATGTACTGATGACATCACTACATGTACTGATGACATCACTACATGTACTGATGACATCACTACAGGTACTGATGACATCACTACAGGTACTGATGACATCACTACAGGTACTGATGGCATCACTGCGGGTACTGATGCCATCCCACAGCAGAATCCACTCTCAGAGATTTTTTAAAGAAAAAAGTGCACAAGTGCAGATTGAATGTTTCAAAGTCTGTAGTCAAGTGTGCTGGCAAAACTTGCAGCAGGGAAGACAAATCACACAAAATCACTACAAAATTCAAGTTTTCACTCCAATAAGACAGTCATGCAAATAGTGAAATGATGCATGATTATTGCAGGGTATTGTGTTCACTTAAAATCTAAATCAGATAAATTAGGAAACCAGATGGAGATATGAATATGTTAGCAGGTAGACACATGAATATATGTAATGTGTGAATCTGATTGGCTGTCATGGTCATGAGATATAATAACACTATATATTTACTGATGACATGACATCACTACAGGTACTGATGACATCACTGCAGGTACTGATGACATCACTACAGGCACTACATGTACTGATGGCATCACTGCGGGTACTGATGACATCACTACAGTCACTGAATATATCCATTTAAATGATTTTTCAGCTATCTCGGCTTCCTCCTGTGAAGTCTGCTGTGGAGTCGTTGGAAAAACACCATATTAACTACAGTGTCTTTGATGATGTTAGAATTGAACCCACTAATGTTAGGTAAGATTAAAAATAATCAAAAATAGTTTTTGTGTTTCTCAACTCTACTAAAATGTAACAGTTTAATTTTTGATTATCCTTCAGTTTCCAAACTGCAATTGATTTTGCTAAGAAAGGTAATTTTGATTCATTTCTTGCTGTGGGTGGTGGATCAGTGATGGACACAGCCAAAGCTGCCAATCTCTATTTATGTAATCCTGATGCCGAGTTCTTGGATTTTGTCAATGCTCCAGTTGGTAAAGGTGTTCCAGTCAGAGGCAATGTCAAACCATTGATAGCTAGTAAGTTGAATGTCAAACCATTGATAGCTAGTAAGTTGAATGTCAAACCATTGATAGCTAGTAAGTTGAATGTCAAACCATTGATAGCTATAGTAAGTTGAATGTCAAACCATTGATAGCTAGTAAGTTGAATGTCAAACCATTGATAGCCAGTAAGTTGAATGTCAAACCATTGATAGCTAGTAAGTTGAATGTCAAACCATTGATAGCTAGTAATTTGAATGTAAGACTATTGATAGCTAGTAATGTGAATGTCAAACCATTGATAACTAGTAATTTGAATTTCAAACCATTGATAGCTAGTAATTTGAATTTCAAACCATTGATAGCTAGTAAGATAAAGGCCAAACCATTGATACGTTGTGAGTTGGATGTTAAACCATTGACAGCTAGTAATTTGAATTTCAAACCATTGATAGCTAGTAATTTGAAATTCAAACCATTGATAGCTAGTAAGATAAAGGCCAAACCATTGATACCTAGTGAGTTAAATGTCAAACCATTGATAGCTAGTAAGATAAAGGCCAAACCATTGATAGCTGGTAAGATAAAGACCAAACCATTGATAGCTAGTAAGTTGAATGTCAAACCATTGATAGCTAGTAATTTGAATGTAAGACTATTGATAGCTAGTAAGGTGAATGTCAAACCATTGATAGATAGTAATTTGAATTTCAAACCATTGATAGCTAGTAAGATAAAGGCCAAACCATTGATACCTAGTGAGTTGGATGTCAAACCATTGATAGCTAGTAAGTTGAATGTCAAACCATTGATAGCTATAGTAAGTTGAATGTCAAACCATTGATAGCTAGTAAGTTGAATGTTAAATCATTGATAACTAGTAATTTGAATTTCAAACCATTGATAGCTAGTAAGATATAGGCCAAACCATTGATACCTAGTAAGTTGAATGTCAAACCATTGATAGCTATAGTAAGTTGAATGTCAAACCATTGATAGCTAGTAAGTTGAATGTCAAACCATTGATAGCTAGTAATTTGAATGTAAGACTATTGATAGCTAGTAAGGTGAATGTCAAACCATTGATAGCTAGTAATTTGAATTTCAAACCATTGATAGCTAGTAATTTGAATTTCAAACCATTGATAGCTAGTAAGATAAAGGCCAAACCATTGATACCTAGTGAGTTGGATGTCAAACCATTGATAGCTAGTAAGTTGAATGTCAAACCATTGATAGCTAGTAAGTTGAATGTTAAACCATTGATAGCTAGTAATTTGAATTTCAAACCATTGATAGCTAGTAATTTGAATTTCAAACCATTGATAGCT